GTGTTTCCCGCGTTTTCAATTTTTTCAAGTTTTACACTGAAAACGCCCAAAACGACAAAAAAGTCGTTTTGTGTTTTCTTCACAAATTTTTTTTCGTTTTCGAAAACAAATTTTCGAAAACGGGAAAGAGAACACATTTTCACCGTTTTGAAAAATCGAAAACAGAAAACGACCCGAAAACGGTAAAGAGAACAGGGCCTTAATTTTTTGGGAATCTATATAATCATTCAGAGCCATATAATTGCTCGTTTGCCATCTTATTGGAGTCTGGAGCTTATCTATTAAATGCTCCTCTGCCTTCACTTGCTGAATATCATCACTTTCTTGTGCATCAGATTTTTACATGCAGGGAGTAGTGTGAATGGGTTCATGATATCTTCTGGCACTTTATATCCTATATTACAGTAGTAGCAAGTCTAAGATGGTTTTGAAGTTATTTTCTTGTGCAGCTTCCCTTATTTAAAAATTTATATCTTTATATTTTTCATTTCAAACTCCAGGTAAGGGATGTACGGCTTATTATGGATCGGAATTCAAGGCGATCAAAAGGAGTTGGGTACGTTTATGCTTATGGTGGTCATGTTGTGTTTCCTTTGTTGTAACTGAATTGCAAAACATTTTGATGTCTCCTTGCATTATGACTCTCTTGGCACACGGAATAATGTTTTAGGCTTGATAAATATTAAATTCTTCTCTTCTCCAGTTACTGATTCTGTTCCTCTAGACTAGAAGCAGTTTTCTTGAATCACTTCGGACCTTTGTCATGTTGTCTTCAAAATTGTATATTTCAAAGAAGTGAATTTCTGGATGTTACATGTGTTCTTGGTTAGTCAGAGAATCAACAGAGTCTGACTCAATCCTATAATGGTTACTGCTACTAAATGTCTACTTTCAACTGAAGCCCTTAATAGTATTTTTGATTCTGCAAATCGAAGGCTATCAAAGTTGTTTTATCAAGAAGTTTTGGAGCCTTTCATACTTTTTTCATTCTTGCTCATCTCTCCAGATGGTGATATATATATTATGGAGGATTAATACAGAGATGATACAAGTCTAAATTTTCATTATCTGGTGACATATGTCTAATGTTTTTCAAGTTTCACTTCGCAGGTACTTGATGATATGATTTGTTAACATAGATAGTTTATGGTCTAAGAGTAGGTTAGTCTGACATATTTTAATTTCTCATGTAAAAGATCGAAACCCTTATGAGCTCTATTCCATTCCAATGTACTTTCACATTCTCAACATATAAATGCTAATGCCAGTGTCTCTGAAACTAAACTGCAGCTGTACTGAACCTGTCTTGTTTCTTGTTCAGTGGTCAACCACTCCAATTAGTTCAGTTAACTTTTGTCAAAATATTATGCCATCAACGATATTTTAAATTTAAAATGGAAAATTAAGTTCTAAAATAATGTTAGGTAGCACATTACATTGTTTATGGCCCTTAGTCGATTATGAGAAAGGATAGGCTAATTCTTCATCCTGGTTTTACCTTGATGTTTTTGGCTGAGTTTTCTGGCTGAGTTTTCTGGCTTTGGAAACCAGTTTTACATAAATTTCAAATCAACAGCCTGCCAATACCTTGACGGTGCGGTATGAACTTTGTCATTAACATGACATAGACGCTGATTAATAATACCCTACGTATGCTATGAAGGGGAGCAAGTATGTTTGTGAGGCACCGCATGTCATAAGAAGATACTTGCTCCCATATGTTCCTCACTTTTGTTCTGTGTGATATCATTTCGTTCCGTAACTAGCTGTATGACATCCAATCAAATTGCAGCCCAAGCCATCAACAATTCTAGAGTATTCCATAGGTAGTTAGCAAAAGGGTAATAAATAGCTAGCAAATTGTCTATAAATGTAAGGGGGAGTTGGGATATTCATTCATTCACGTGTATGTTGAGTCTAGTGGGAGAGTCCCAAGCCTTTTGAATGCTCTGGGTTGTTGGAGTCCTTTCTTATGTACATTTCAATGAAATTACTCATTTCCATTTCAGTTTTCATCTTTACATTAAACCAGTCAGCTTTGACAGTTGGGGTTCTATCAATATGGTATCAGAGCAACCATTCGGGCCTTGGGGTATTAAATCTGGAGATGAAAAGCAAGTAGAAGATCGAGTGGCGGAGACGAAAATTGATGGAATTCAGTTGGAAATCCATGAAGATATGAAAACACTAAAATCTGAAATTAACAAGGTAATGTCCGGGATGATGGAGAAGATGGATCTGATCATGAAAAAGTGGGATAGAAAGGACATTGGGATTGCAATTAATCTGACCGGAAACAACGCGGATCCATAAATCTCACCCAAAAACAACGAAACAGGAAAGGTACAGTTAGAAGAAGTTGCCGGGAGGAAGTCGTCCTCAGAGAAAACCGGATTCTAATTGAAATCATACCATCACCATCGTCGGAGGAGGAGAAGAGATATGAGCATCTCGTGGAAAGGTTAGCTGCAAATCAGCTGAATCTGGAGAAGAACGAAGGGAAATTGCTGGATTTGATGGATCTGGACTTGGGCAAGGAAATGGCCCAGAGTGTTGATGACAGGAATGAAATGAAGCAAGCCCAATTACAATACGGCTCATCTAAAGCTAAAACTAGTTTATATAACCCAAATGCTTACAACCTAAATACCATCCACCATTACTTCTTTGACCAAACCACGTACCAAACTCATCAGACCATTGCTCCGGCTCCAAAACCCACCACGGCATCACCTGAACCTGAGGAAACCGGAGCAATTACTGACAACCATAACTGTAAAGAAGAACCAGGTAAGGTAGATGTCCGCGATCATAGGCTGTATGTGCTGATTGTGGAAGGAATGGCGGCTCCATTGCCGGCAATTTCAGATGCAGGGAAGAAAGGGGACGGGCAAAAGAGTGAAGAAAAGGAGAGAACGACCTTCAAATCTGAAACCCTACTCAGAATTGATGAAACCGAAGCTACTACTGGCGGCCGGATTTGTAGGGATTTCCGGAGCTTGTTCAATATTCTGGTAGCTCCCTTCTCGACGTTACCTCAGAAGTTATTTTTGGGCAAACTTGTTAATGGGTTTCAAACAATGTTACAACATGAAGGTTTGGGCCAACTCTTGAAATGGGTCCAAAGGCTACAAGACAAAAATGAGCTCCTTAAGCATGCCACACCGATTTACAGCCCAAACAAGAATGGAAAAAAAATTCCCTAGCCCAAACTCTTGGACAGTTTCTATAGAAGGAACTGTTTATGGAATTTGTACGGATAAAATTTTAATGATGGATGGACAATTGGCTACACGTTAATAATCGCAGCAAGCTTACTCGAAAAATTGTTCAGCTAAATGGAAATTCGAATTTTGAAGTTGAACCCCATCTCACCTTGAGGACAAGGTGGATTTCGGGGCGGAGGGTAATGATAGACATCCAATCAAATTGTAGCCCAAGCCATCAACAATTCTAGAGCATTCCATAGGTTGTTAGCAAAAGGGGTAAAAAGGTAATAGATAGCTAGCAATTTGTCTATAAATGTAAGGGGGAGTTGGGATATTCATTCATTCACGTGTATGTTGAGTCTAGTGGGAGAGTCCCGAGCCTCTCGAATGCTCTGGGTTGTTTGGAGTCATTTCTTACGTACATTTCAATAAATTTACTCATTTTCATTTCGGTTTTCATCTTTACATTAAACCAGTCAGCTTTAACAGTTGGGGTTCTATCACTGTACAGATTCTTTTGCCCTTTCTAGTGATTGACTTGGTAACTATATGACATGACTACAGATACATTGAATTTTATGATGCTATGTCTGTGCCGATGGCTATAGCTCTGTCTGGTCACCTTCTCTTTGGACAACCAGTAATGGTCAAACCTTCCGAGGCTGAAAAGAATCTTGTTCAGTCCAATACTACTGTTGGTGGTTCAGGTGTCATCGGACCTTATGGTGCTGCAGATAGGAAGCTGTATGTGGGCAATTTACACTTCAACATGACAGAATTTCAGCTTAAGCAGGTAAAGACTTGCCACCATCATTTATTTTAGTGCATATATTAGTGATGCGCTGTTATTCCCGATTACTTTGTAACAGCTTAACATTTGCTGAGGAAGAAAGATCTGGAGGTTCAGACATTATATGGTATCTAAAATTAAGTGCCAGTAGTAGATGTTCTGGATATACTACTTAGAAAAACATTCCTCTGTGCCTCATTTCAATTTTTGCTGTCTAAAATGAGCGTCTTAAGAGTCATTTATAGTGAAATGGCCTCTCCATTAGCTTTCTATTAATTAAAGATCTACCATTGCTGACTTCGATAATGTTCAAACAAGTAGAAATATGGGTTGTGAGCTATTCAATTTTAGTTAATAAATAATATTTTGTTAATCACGTTGAAAGTGAATCTCAAATAATTAACATAAGAACTGTTATGAGAAATTGAGATTATGCTTGAGAGCCAAGATAGAAACGACTATCTATTTGCTACTCCATGCCCCTATGCATTGAAGATGTGTAGGTCATGAACTTTTCTCTACATAGTATCATTTTGTAAGTTTTTTAAGGGTTATCAGGCTAATTGATTTCTAATTTATTCAACTAAATAGTATTTTACTACTTTCTCCATCGTGTCTCCTTTAGCTCTCACGATATCTGTTTTTGAGCCGTGCTCAAATCTTGGTGTTAATTTTTTCTCCTAGATTTTCGAAGCTTTTGGGCCTGTTGAGCTTGTGCAACTGCCTACGGATCCAGAGACAGGACACTGTAAAGGTTTTGGATTTGTTCAAGTCAGTATTTTGGAGAATTTGCCGCATTGAAAGATTCCTTGTGTTCCATTGACTTTTGATGTTATCACCATCTATTTTAACATGAAACTTTTGATTTGATATATTCCAGTTTGCGCAACTTGAGCATGCAAAGGCAGCAGAGAGTTTGAATGGTAAACTGGAGATTGCCGGTCGGACCATCAAGGTACTAAACCTATACTATTTTGGCTTCATTTTCTGGGACCTTATTGCTTTCTGTTTTGAATTCATTACAGGTTTCATCAGTTACAGATCATGTTGGAGTACAAGATTCTGGAACAAAAACTGCAGATTTTGATGATGATGATGGGGGTGGTTTGGTGAGAAATATTTTAAATTACGTTATAATTATTAACTAGTTATGCTTCAATTATTGTCCCTAGTCTCCCAATGGTAACTCAAGCTTTTACTGAAACGGTAAGGTGCTTGCAATTATGTTTCGAAGTTATTATTTTGATCGTGCAGGAGATCGAACCTTTATTTCTTGTTTTGTAAAAGAAGGGTTATCAGTTCGAAATGTTTACTTTTGAGCAAGTCATGTTGCAAGTGCATTGCATTTTTTTCTTCTACACTGGTATTTGATTTCTCCTCTGGAGATGATGATTAGATGCCATTGACCTAGGATATGGACACTGCTATTCAAATTTACAAGTAATGGAGTGAACTTCTTTTATGGGACATGCAGTTGTATCGATCCGATCTGAAATTTCACTTCAGGGAGACTAGCTATCTAATCTGTTTCTGTTTTGCAACATACTCTTAGAATCTCATTCATTACTGTTTGCATAATCTCTACAGTCGTTGAATGCTCAGTCAAGAGCAATGCTCATGCAGAAGCTGGATCGCAGTGGTACTGCTTTGAGGTTTGTATACAAGTTTTTCATGAAATGCATACCTTCCTTTTGCAACAGTCAACACGAACTTGGTTATCCTTTTCAGTGTCACGGGGCCCATTGGAGTGCCTGCTCTCAATGGATTGGCTCCACAACAGTCTATCAACTTGCCAATGAACCCATCAACAGTTCTCCATCCTCCTGTTCTTCCCACACAACTGATTTCTATGGCTCCAGAACCTATTGGGAACCCCAGTGAGTGTTTGCTATTGAAGAATATGTTCGATCCAACCGCGGAGGTCAGTGATATTTTTGTTCATTGTTTCTTACTGAAGTTTGTTATCTCTTACACTGTCTTTGCTCAAACACACTAAAAACTCATCGCAGGTGGAGCCGGAGTTCGATTTGGATATTAGAGATGATGTGCAAGAAGAATGTTCGAAGTACGGCGTAGTGAAGCATGCTTACGTGGACAAGTAAGTATATATTTAATATTCTTTTATCAATTTTTGTCGACGGTTAAATGAAGATGATGATAGTGTGGGAGCGAGGAGGGTTAATCAAGTTGTTCATAAATTCACAATATGGACATTTGTAGAGGAAAGTTCTGCTGAATATCTGATTAAAGGCCGCAAAGAAAAATAAGGCAAAAAATTTCATTTTCTGATATATATGATTGTTTTTTATTGTGAAGTATATATCGAGAAAGGATATGATTTTGTTTTCTGTTTTCAGTTGGTCATGATTGTGATGACGTAATTTGATTAATTTGTTTTCTATGGTTTCACCAAATGATCTTCTCAGTTCATTAGAAATATCTTGACATGTTTATGCTGTCACCTGTAATAATTCATGATCTGTTCTACTCGGTGGCTACCTAAGGAAAATGAAACTCCATGATCAATTTTGTTCTCATTAATCATGCTTGCTTAACAGGACTGTGAATGAATAGATGATGGCTTATAATGATCTTTTTACTTTCCAGGAATAGCGCCGGATATGTATACTTGAGGTTTGAAAGTGTCGATGCAGCGTCACGTGCTCAACAAGCTATGCATAAAAGATGGTTTGCTCGTAGATTGATCTCTGCAATATTCTTGGTAATATCTTTTAAACATCCCTCTTTCCCTTGAAAGAGTACCAAGGGCTGGAAAATTGGTCACGTTATTTACGTTTTACTTGAGGGAAACCAAATAATTAACTTCTCAAATTTGTCAGGCGATATAATACCATAGTGGCCATGTTTGTTGGTCTTTATATTCCACGGTACTAGTTCTGTGCACATCATTCCTTCTGGAGAATGCAACAGAGAACTTGGGGAAATTCGATTCTTTCTCTATATATATCAATGTTAGATTTTAAAATATAGTTGAGTTCATGTTGGATGATCGGACTCTTGGATTTTTCAAGTAGCTTTTAAAATCACTCGTTGAAGCAAAAGCTTTATCACAAAAATCCCACTATGATTCTCATAGATAATTTTTGAAAACTACTTCTCTGAGGGCTTGCTCCTGAGTTCTATTCTCTTACTAACTGCCATGGCTAGTGTTGTAGCTTTTGCCAGAGCTGTCAAATGCAATAATACTTGATAAAAAGAGTCAGGCTGAGTGTACAGGGTACGGGTTCACAGAACCCATACTGAACACACACAACACCGGATGGGTGGGTGGGTTTTATTAGTTTTTTATACACTTGGTGTGAGTGAGTGCAGGGGTTCTGTACACAGAATTATTCTGATAAAAAAAGGTCGATTGACAAGAATAATTGAAAGAAATAATTTACAAGATATGATTTATCTGCATCTAAAGTATCAATTCCAACTAGTAACTACCTACTATTTATTGACAAATTTGTTTCAATCTTAATGGTTAACACCGACCTTTATTGTATTCTGCAGCAATTATTTTTTCTCGTGAATTTCTGCCATCACTGAAGTATGATAGACTGTCTTTTCTTTTGCAGCAACCATATGAATACGATGCCAAATTCAAGGGTGCAGCTTGAAAAACTTTTTATTGTGAAATGGTGCTTTGTGGGGTATCTCATTAATCTTTCTATTTGCTTCATGTCCTGAGTAACGCTGAATTGAATTTTTTGGTTGGTATCGACCGCGTTATGTAACTTAACCAATTGTTAGCGCTTTTTTACTGTCAAGATAATCACTGCCTAATCTATGTTTCTCGTTCACATTACCCCAATGCTTTTGGCATTATTTTCTCGTCTGAAGCAACCGACCATGAGCATGGGAAGTTAGCCGTAGGGTTATCTGGTGATATGAAGTACCTGTGTGCAAGAATGTGCAAAGAAAAGGTTCTATAGTTGCTTAGAATACTTGCTAAAAGTCAAAAACTACTTTGGATCTACCGTTTTTGTGGGACATGCGAGTGTGATCTATTTACCCATTGCGCTTTTTCCTTTGTTTATTGTGCGTTCGACTTGTGAACTTGTAGATTCTGTTGAGAATCTTGCTTTTTCACTGCCTTAAGCCGATTATGGATTGCAAATTACATATTTTTATCCACATAATCTATAACTATATTCTTATATTAGTTGAACCATAAGTAATCAGCGCCCCAGCAAGATTATGGATGCACTTAGAAACGAATGAATACTAAATCATTTTCAATGGCTACATCAATGATCAGATGCCCAATTGATTATCATCTGAAAACGTGTTACAATCAGTGAAGGCCTGTCCAGGCCAAAATTTGCTTGGACAAGAAAATGTTATAATGCACGGTTACTGGGAGTGAATATGAAGCATATCAGTACTTAAAAAGTCAGATTTTGTAGACATAGAAGAAGTTTAGACTGATGGATACAATGCATAACCTCCTTTTCTATACCTGCATGTATATACAAAGAAAAATGGGTGGACACACTTGTGGAGGGCAAGTTTACCAGGTGGGCGATGAAGCATTTTTTGACATTCAAGGATGTAGGTTTATCATGCAAAAATGGAAATAACTTAATTAGGGGTTTGTTTAGCCCCATTTTCTTCCAATTTTTTTTGCTTTCTTATGTTTAATCACAATTTTTCATAAAATAATATTATATGTAAATTGAAAGTTTTTTATTTTATTTCAACCAAACATTTTTCAAAAAACATTATTTTAAACATTAAAATTTGAAAAAATTGGGGGCGGAAGAGGGGCTTAGCAGTTCTGCGGCAAGTACAGGTTTTATCAGTTGAGCTTTTAAGACGGTAAGACTTTTTGCAAAAGAACTATTACCGAAGTATTCATGACAGTTTGGTTAATAAAAAATGGTGACATGGCAAATTGTCATTCGCCAATTTATTAAATAAAAAAACAATTTTTTGTCCACAAATTTTTTAAAACAAAGACAATATCAATAATGATGTAAAGAAAGGATTGTACAAATGGTAAAATAATAAAAAAAAAAAAATTGTCTCAAATATGAAATCTCTTTGGGTTTCATTCCATTTTGTTAATATTTACTTTCCAAGACATGATTAGTTAAAAAAGGTTAATAGTACTTTTGAGTCATATGAAATGAGATTAAACTCCCGTTTGACCTCTATTATTTGAAAATGAAAATGGGAATAATAGTATTTTTTAGAAAAATAAGTGGTTGAAAAAGAAGAAAAAGTTTTCGATTTACGTGTAATATTATTTTATAGAAGATTGTGTGATTAAAAATAAGAGAGAGAAAAATGAAATTTAATGGGGATCAAACGGGGGTTAAACTAACGTTAGACCATTGAAAAGTAACTCTTTAGCAAAATAGAATGAAATCCAAACAAAGGAAAGTTGGCTGTTTAGACGTATAATTAGAAAAGTGCTTTTGATTTATTGATTATACATACTGCAATTTTATTTTATCATGGAACATTTTTTTTGAATATAATATTTTTAAGACGTAAAATATAACAAATTAATATACGAAAGACAATAATATGATCTTAAATTTCATGCACTAGTCGAAGTTATAATTATGCACGTCTAATGATTTTCTTTTAATTCAAAAATTAATTTTTTTCTTCGGATTTTAAGAACATTCATGGAAATTATTTCTTCGAGTTAGTGACGGACATGGTAAGACCAAATGTTATTCAGATTATCGATCGATTTTCAATTGCTTCATGGAACTCCAGCATAAGAGAAGCAGTCAATCAAGGCCATGCCCAGAAGGCTCTTATTCTTTTTCGCCAATTGAAACGAAACTCTTATGTACAGCCCAACAATTTAACTTTCCCATTTATTGCAAAAGCTTGTGCAAAGCTCTCAAAGCTGAAGTACTCCCAGATGATTCATGCTAGTGTTGCAAAATCGCCATTTTGTTCAGATGTTTATGTACAAACAGCTTTGGTCGACATGTATGTAAAATGCAGTAGCTTAGATCATGCATTTGATCTGTTTGATAACATGGCTGAAAGAGATTTAGCAGCGTGGAATGTGATCATTATGGGTTTTGCTCAGTTGGGTTTTTTGGATAGAGTTTCATGTTTGTTTAAGGGGTTGAGGATGGATAACATCATGCCTGATGCAGTAACGATCATGGGGTTGACACAATTGGTGTCTGGGTTAAAGGATACGAGGTTATTGAGCTCTGTACATTGCTTTGGGATGAAATGTGGGTGTGCAGGGGATGTTACCGTTACCAATACTTGGATTGCTGGCTATGCCAGGTGTGGTGACCTGTTCTCGGCTGAGATGGTGTTTTGTGGTATTGGCATCGATGCTTTGACTGTGGTTTCTTGGAATGCTATGATTGTGGGATGTGCATGTGTTGAGGAACCGGTGAAGGCTCTTGGGGTGTACCAACATATGCTTCTCGACGGATTTAGGCCTGATTTGTGTACCATTCTTAATCTGCTCTCCTCATGTACTCAGCCTGATTCTTTATTTTATGGTATGCTAATTCATGCTCAAGGAATAAAAGTGGGTTGTAATGAGAATATTGCTGTTCTTAATACTCTTATTTCCATGTATTCCAAGTGTGGAAATGTTGACATGGGAAGAAGTGTATTTAGTAGCATGACTGAGAGAACACCAGTTTCATGGACTGCTATGATTGGAGGGTATTCTGCAAAAGGTGATTTGGAGGAGGCATTATCTATGTTCCATGCTATGGAGGCTTCTGGCGAGACACCTGATTTTGTTACCATGATCCATTTGATTTCAGCATGCGGCCAAATTGGAGCACTTGAGGTTGGAAAATGGATTGATAATTACACCATTTTGAAGGGATTGAAAAGCAATGTGATGGTATGTAATGCATTGCTAGACATGTACGCAAAATGTGGAAGTTTAAGAGATGCTCAGGAACTCTTCGGTACTATGCAAGGGAAGACTGTGGTCTCTTGGACAACTATGATAGCAGGATATGCACTAAATGGAAAAACACAAGCAGCTTTAGATTATTTTCATCGAATGTTAAAGTTGGGTTTGAAACCAAATAACGTAACTTTCCTTGCTGTTCTTCAAGCATGTACTCATGCGGGTCTGTTGAATGAAGGGCAGGGAATTTTTGATATGATGATTAAAGTGTATAGAATAAATCCCGGACTAGACCATTATGCTTGCATGACTGATCTCCTTGGACGCCAAGGAAGACTGAAAGAAGCGTTGAACTTTATTGAAGATATGCCTATCAAACCAGATGCTGGAATTTGGGGTGCTTTCCTTTTTGCTTGCAAGATCCATCACAACCTAGAGCTTGGCGTGTATGCTACACATCGACTTTTGCAACTTGAATCACAGGCTGCAGCTCCTTATGTTGAAATGGCAAATATATACGCATCAGCAGAAGATTGGGATGGGGTTGCTGCAATGTGGATGAAAATGAAACGCAAGCAAGTGACAAAATCCCCGGGGCAAAGTGCAATACTGGTGAATGGAAAACGTTATTGTTTTACTGTAGAAGATAGAAACCATTCTCAGGGCTCTCAAACGTTTGAAACATTGGATAGCTTAGTTTCACAGTTGAAAGATGAAGTACATTTATTTTGTACTCCGGAACTTGTGGATTCATCAATTGGCCACGAGCAAACCACATAAGAAAACTGGATTGCAGAGAATTTTGAAACCGTACGAGAGCTAGATGGAGTATCAATCAGAATCAGGACGGTAACACTATTGCAATGATTATGCTGATGCACTCCTGTAAACTACTAAAGATTTCAATATGCTAACCTATACTCCATGACAAAGATATTCCAGCCTCAGGGGCTGGAGATTACATTGCAGCCATACTTTATCAGTCTAGGACAGCCTCGTCTGATTTATAACTAAATTTTATGATGTCACTTACCATAAGAAGCAAGAAGGAGAAGATTGATAGTTTTTGTGGTTTTTAATTATTACGGCCACTTTGAAAGCAATTACATTGCCATACAATAATGAATTGAAAAAGTAAAAAAAACTTTGAAGTACAAGGTCATACAACGATCTATCATTCAAATGCTGCTTTTAGCTATACCTGGTTATGATTTTAGTATAAAATGGCTATAAAAGATGAGTTTCATGCGTGGTTCACCTCAAGTTGTAACTCAAATAGGAGGTTTGGGCCGATACATGACAGTTCAACGTTTTCTTTAGTTGCATTCACTGTATTTCCACCTAATGTTTAACGGCTGCTTTAACTTAGTGATTTAGTCTATCAATTCCTACATTTTGTCATTGGTTTTTGATGGCTGGCAAATTTTTGATGTTTGAGCACAGGTAATAGAAGCATTTTAGTGCCATTACTGATTTCTTACTGGAACAAATGGCCCCATTGTGAATCTCAACGTCTTTGAACCAGAAACAGAAGCTGTAGCTTGTATATATATACAGACAGCCAATTTTGGACAGCAAATCTTAACTGGACAACCCACTACGGGAGTGGTTGGGAGACGCAATTAGGTGACAGAATTGCACCCTTTTTTTTTTTTTTTTTTTTCCTGTAACTAAAGACAGCTAAAGCTCACATTTGGGTGGCGACAGATGTATTGTTTGATCTTGATTTAGTTGATATATGAAAATGTAACACACTCAATGGAATTGGAGGCTATATGAAAATTGTGTCTTACAACTGGGCTATAAGGTTAATCCTATATGAACAACATTTTTCAATTGCTACACAGGAGAAAAGATCAGAAATTTTATCAGATGAAGAACAAAGAGAACACTCTGAATCTCCTTGCCGCAAGATTACAAGTCGAAGAAGTGCAATGCCATTACTCCTAATAAACCAAAAAGGATATATCTATTCTATTTGTTCCAATCCAAATTATTTATTGGCTTTGTAGACATACAGATTACGAATAGTCCTGTATCTGCGTCTCTTTGGGTTGCAATTGATCACACAATCTTGCATGATTTTCTTTGATGAAGTGATTTGAACACCATTTGTATTACCATAATTATATTTCCTCTTGTTGGAGGTTGAATTCGTTATATTGCTCTTGTCATCCTCTTCATCTCCAAATATATGTATAAGCTGCTCCGCCACCCCTGCCGCCTTATCTACCTCTGACAAGCTCCCTTGCCCAGATGGCGATGTTGAGCAAGCCATGAAAAATATGCAGAAATGAAGAAAGAACTCTGTAAGTCTCTCTTTCTCTCCGTGTTTGGCTTAACAGGTTTTTATTGCTTTTTGGATAAATAGAGCGCTTTACAGGTTTACTTGTTATGCAAGTTCTGATAAAGAAACTGCAGCGTGGGTGCAAGGAAGCTGATAGGAACTT